GGTAAGTGGTGGAGAGATGAAGAGGTACAGGGCGGATGGACAGATGGATGGACATTGAATGTATGGATGTTGCATTGGAAATGAAGGAGAGATGGATGGATGGATGAATGAATAGATTGATGGATGGATGGATGAGTGGATGGACGATATTGAAGAATTAATGGATTGGAAATGAAGGATGGAGGATGGGTGAGTGGATGGATGAGCAGAGAAAAGGAGCCATGTGACAGCTCAGGCCTCTGCTCTGGGTGTGTAGCCCAGCCTGAATGAGAGTGAGGCATTCTGCTTTTCAGAACGGTGTATCATTTAGCCAGTCTCAAAACAGACTTGAGGTATCTGCCTTGACCTCTAACTTCATGCACATGTGAACACAGGGACATGAAGACGGTGCGTGTGTGGTCCCACTCACTGGTGTATGTAATGTTGAACCCTCGGCCGGTGGTAGAGTGATCGGACTGAAACTCCAGGCGCACTATGTGTCCACTGCTGGCCAGCTGTGCAGGCACCTCGTTGCCAGAAAAAGTACCCAGGATGGTTACATCAGAAATCCCATCGTCTTTGACCGCCAGGAAGTCAAATTGAGGCTCTACATCAAAATCATTGAAGATGAGATGAATCCGACTTCCAGGCTCAGATATGATCAGCCAGACACAGTTCATGTTGTTACCGTATTCGTCAGGGTAATTTGGGGACAGGATAATCCCAGAAGACGCCGTAAAGTTGAAGAAACAGGAAACTGTGGAGACAGGAAGACATTCTCAGGGTTACACTGACCTAAGTGATGCCATGTGAATGTGACTTCGAAGCTCTTGGGATGACAATCATGGAGCAGCACACAGTGGCTCAGCCACTCTAAATGTGGTGATGCCTGCACCCAGGGTGTCCCTCACCAACTGTAAGTAAAGTGCTCAGTTATAAAAAACAGCCATCCAATCAACACCAGGCTATGGCTGCGGCTCATAGAGGAGCCTGTCAGATTAGCTAAACACAAGCACTGAACATGATGACTCCTGGTTGTCGTTTTCTGTCTGTGTCCATGGGGCGGGAATGGCTGTCTCTGCTCCTTAGTTCTCTATTTATATTTCCCTTTAAAGTGTGCTTTTACGTTATTTGATTTTATTTTTAGTTACAGATTAATGACAAGTAACTCAGAAACATAGATCATTTTCCAGTTGTTAACTACAGACAGCTCCTGAAAATTGACTGTTAAGAATGTGCACTTCACAGCCCAGTGCAGACCATACTGTTTGTAGGTAGAGGTCTGTTTGTCCCTCCACTATTCCACATGCCGTGTCCAGGCATTGCTGTTTATGTTCCAACAAAACCTCCAGGGGCTGGATGCTGCCTCTGGTGCCTGAAATACTACTGATTCTTCACTGAATTCCAAACGCTCGTCGTTACCTGACTAGCTCAGGTGACCATTCCACATGCCGTGTCCAGGCATTGCTGTTTATGTTCCAACAAAACCTCCATGGGCTGGATACTGCCTCTGGTGCCTGACATACTACTGATTCTTCACTGAATTCCAAACGCTCGTTGTTACCTGGCTAGCTCAGGTGACTAGCTCATGTCCCAGAGCTGCCTGAGGTTCCAAGTCTAGGTGTGACCCAGAGCCTCATTAGGTCTTGGTACACACCATGGGAGAGCTCAGCTTCTCCTTACCTAGCAGATCCTCCTACCTAGGATCAAGGTTCGAGCTGCCTATAGCTGGGGTGTGTCTGAGCAGCCTTTTGTTTAAGAGGCTCAGAGCTGCTTCCAGTGGCCTCCCTCCAGGACTCCCTTCCCTTCACTGTCTGCTGCCCCTTGCAGGGCAATGTGGCACCACACACGTAACTATGGTACCCACACACACGCAGCTGTGGCACCCACACCACACTTATAGCTGTGGTACTCACACACACATACACATACCACACACGTAGCTGTGGTTCACACACATATATACACCACACGTATAGCTGTGGTACACACACACAGATATGGTACCCACATCATACATACAGCGGTGGCACACACACACACACACACACACACACACACACGCAACATACAGCCAGCTGTGTACTCACACACGCAGCTAGGCTTGTTGCCCGACCATTGGTTGTTCTGCTGACAGGTGATCACTCGCTCCCCCAGCAGCTCGAAGGCCGCCTGGCACTCGAAGGTGAGCGTGTCTCCGTGGAGGAAGCTGTTCCCAGTCCGCTTCCCATAGGCTGGGATGCCTGGGTCCCCACAGCCTCCCTTGTCGATTTCTGAAGAGAATAAAAAGAGCCATGGAAAAGTCCACTACGACATCACTGCCTGTAGACGTTCACAATGGAAGGAGCTTTTCCTTTCATTGCTATGAACTTTGTGCACACAAATAATTTCAGACAGATGTTCAATTCATCTAATATTTTGTTATAAAACCCAGAATGAAATAAAACAGATTTTATTATTTTATGAGTGTGTTGCTTGCATATAGGTAGGTGCATCCATGTCATGCAATGCCCAAGGAGGTGGGAAGAAGGCATCGGATCTGCCGGAACTGGAGTTATGAATACTTGTTAGCCACCATGTGGGTGCTGAGAATCAAACTCGGGTCCTTTGCAAGAACAACCAGTGCTCTTAACGGCTGAGCCATCGCTGAAGCCCGAGCATGAAATTTTAGCATAAAGTTGAGAGAAAGGTATTTAATCTGTTGTCTTTTAAAGACCACACGGCTGCACAGGTGTGCTGACAAGTCAAGTGAAATGCATATATTTACACTGAGAGAGAGAGAGAGAGAGAGAGAGAGAGAGAGAGAGAGAGAGAGAGAGAGAGAGGCCTTGACCCAGGGCCTCCAGCCTTCCATCTGCAGTCACTGCTGCTAAGACACAAACACTAATTTGCTTTTGATCTCCACTTCTATGAACCATACCAATACGACTGTTCATGCCCTCCAGGATATTTAAATCAATATGATCTGTTTGAATGTCCTTCTCCTTAAATGACTGTGAAGACTCATTTTGAAGGGGAACGAATGTGTTCAAGGCCTTCAGAAGAAAGTGCAGAGCCGAACCCTGCCATTAAAACATCTGTGTGATGAAGGCTAGATGCAAATGCATCCTACCTAAAAGCTCTCAAACCTGTCTCAAATGCTAACGATATAGAACATATCAGCTGAGAACTCTTTATTCATTTACTTATTTGAAAAATACTTGTAAAATACTTCATTCAATACTTTTATTTTTTGCCTGCATGTATGTAAGTGCACCTGACCTGTGTTGTGAAATGCCCACAGAGGTCAGAAGAAGGAATTAGATCCCCTAGAACTGGAGTTATAGATGGTTGTTAGCTGTCATGTGGTGCTGGGACTTGAACCCAGGTCTTCTGCCAGAGCAGCCAGTGCTCTTAACCACTGAGCTATCTCTCCAGTGCCTTGTTAAATATTTTTAAAGCCAACTCTCTATGAGGCCCCATCTTAGGTAAGGAGGTTGGTGGGCAAGCAGGATACAGGGCACAGGATGTGCTCTCAGAGACTTCCTTGATGGATGGGAAGAAACTAAACTACTAATGTGAATCCAACCAGTGTGAAATGGAGGAGAGTCCACAGTAGGTCCTCAGAGGCCGGTGGAGCACGGGACAGAAATACAGACAGCCTGGGTTCTCCAGAGATGGACACAGCCGTATGACTCCACAGGATTCCTGCTTGTGTTGGGTTAGCAGGGAGGAAGGGCTTCAGGGAGTCTAGATGTGTTATGACGCCAACAGGTTCAGATTCGAAACCAGCCATGGCAAGGGAAGACGGGGAATGACTCGAGACTAACCGAGCAGAGCCTCCGGAAGGTGTCTACAAGCACACCTATTGGAGTTGTACCGATTTTATTTTTCAGATTTTCAGATTATTAATTTACTGATTTATTTTGATAGTAATTTAAATTCATATTTGAAAATTTCATACATGTACACATTGTGTCTGGATCTTACCCAGTCATCTCTTACCCCCTCCAACTTCCCATGTTTATTTATTTAACTTTGTAGCTGATTGATGTGATGTGGTTGATCTCACTCAATTGTTTTTTTTTTTTTCTCGGAATTTTTCATGGATACACATTTTATTATCTTGAAGAAGTCAATAACAAATTTGAATTTTAGTTTTTATTGGACATGGTTGGGATTTCAATATTTTTTATGCTTGTGAAAGCGTGTTGAAATACACTCCTGCTGTAACAGACTGAGAAGTGGTGAGACCTTTAGAAGTGACAGGTATTATAGGAGATTAATGTGGGTCTACGGCGATCAGATTAGTTACATGAACATGGGCTGCTTATTAAGCAAGGTATTCTCAAGTGATTTCTCTCTTGCACACACATCCACTTGACCTGTCTTTTTTCTGCTGAGTATGACCCAGTGCTGGGCCCAGTCTTGGACCCTGAACTTCAAGAAACATGAGTCTCAATGAGCCTCTGTTCTCTACAAGTCAACCAGCTTCAAGCATTCTGTAACAGTGCCAGAAAGCCTACAAAGTCATCAACCAGACTAGTTTCTAATGAAATTCCCTTTTTCTGGGATCTGTGCATAAAAACTAGATTTCCCAGTGTTTTCTGGGACTGTGTAAGAAACGCAGTCAGAGACAAAACCACGCATGGCACATTTCTACAATAGAAACTCAACTCCTTAGTGTTTTGGAAGAAGTGGAGACATTAAACCAGCTTACCATGCCAGAGTAAATAAAGGTCTTCAACACATGGGGATGTTCATGTCAAGCCACATTTCAGCCCAATAGCCCACACAGAACTGTGAGTACTGGCATTCAAGTCCAAAGGGCTTCTTACAGATGCATTTCCTGCTCTGTGCACGTCCTCAGCCTCAGAGCATTGCTCTTTCGGATGGAGCACGGCATGAGGTGAGCAGAGCTGGAAATGGATTCCCTTGACTTTCTCAAGTGTCTTACTGAATCTGCTCCCCCACCCCAACACACACACAGGGTTCATGACAGAACCGACTGCAGAGGGCTGGGCACTGGAGTCCCTGTAGCACTGGCCTCTCTGAAGTCACTGGCCAGCACACAGGTCTCTTCATCATCCTGATCTCATCAGAGATCCACTGGCTCTTGCCTCCAGAGAGCACCTTACACAATGAAATGCTCATGGAAACGTCCTGTCAGCAGACCTCAGGCCACTCTTCATCTCTGACGCCAAACCTGATGGTTCTGAGAAGGAAACTGACTGCGGTGTTTCAGATGTTATGGACTCTGTGCTGTCAGGTGACTTTCTCTGGGGAGTTCTTAGAACCACAGTGATTACAGTTAGACACAGCAAGGCGAGGGAGAGGTCTCTGCCTCTCACCCGGAGGCCCAGCAGATCTTGAATCAGCCATTTCTATCAGATACAGATGAGGTTTCTTATCCAGAGGCAGGACAGCTGTCACCCCAGGCAGAGCCCGTGTCTGTCACGTGTTTGCAAACTGTAGGCCCTTGCTGGTGATTACCAACATGGCACGCTCTGCATGCCAAAGATGAGGCCACTACAGCATCTACTGGTGTCATATCCCTGGAACTTGAATCCTCAGACACAGTGAGGTTACAGCATTTCACAGAAATTTATTTTGCCCTTTATATAAGCTAGAACCATGTATTTACGCCACAAGATTGTCATGACAAAATATATACAGAATCCAAATTTTCAGTTGAGCATTGTGTCACACTCAGGTGGGAAAACCTGACATTGCTTCATGTACTTCTTGGAGAAATGAAGAATGAAAGAGGAAACCAAGCTGCATGACTGATAAGACAACATCAATCCTTCCTGCAGAGATGGAGTCCGACCACCTTCTAAGAGATGGAGTCCAACCTCCTCCTTCAGAGATGGAGTCCGACCTCCTCCTGCAGAGATGGAGTCCGACCGCCTTCTAAGAGATGGAGTCCGACTGCCTTCTAAGAGATGGAGCCCAATTTCCTCCTGCAGAGATGGAGTCCAACCTCCTCCCGCAGAGATGGAGTCCGACCTCCTTCTGTAAAAATGGAGTCTGACTGTGATCTAAGAGATGGAGTCTGACCGTCTTCTAAGAGATGGAATCCAACCTCCTCCTGCAGAGATGGAGTCCGACTTCCTCCTACAGGGATGGAGTCCGACCCCCTTCTAAGAGTTGGAAGGTAAGATGTCAGAGCTGACTTTGTGTTGCTCTCTTGGAAACATATTTCACACTTGAATAAAAGATCAAAACCCCACAGCAAAATAAGTCTTGTCAATGCATCTTTCCTGAATTTCCCAGAAACGCAATTGTAGAATGAAAGGGCCTCAGGCTGGGTCAACTTCCTCAGCATTATGACACAGCTCCTGGCTCATGGGAATATCTGTATCCAAGTCCCCTGAGGTCTCTGTGATGATCTATTGATCATTTTTGACAATCACCTTCAGAAGCGCCAAAAATATTTTCCATTTTCAAAGTTCACCTTTATTTTTCCTGAATTTGTGAAGTATTTCAAATACCTTTAATAGCTTTTCTACAAATGTTTCTAAAACATTATGTGCTTCACATTCATCCTTACTAAATTTGTTTTTACTTGATACTTTATACTGAACCTATAAATGCTCACATGCTAAAACAATACTGGGAATTACTTCTTTGTAATGGAGCTGTGCAGTTTTTAAAGCTGGCACAGCAGTTCTGAGACATAAGCAAATCAGTGTGGCATCCTGACAGCTCAGCTTGTCAGAACCATACCTGCTTTTTATGCTCCCAGATAGAGCCTGGAGGGAGGACTATGGTGCTGAAATGGGACGGCACCCTCAGACAGATGGTAGGAAACGTCCTACGGGAGGAAGTAGATGGAAAGCTGGGGGAACTGACAGCAAACGTCGAGAAATGCTCTGGGGTCGTGGAGAACTGTGCAGCCTGGGCGAATTGATGGGCTTTGAGTCACAAAAGGTAATTTCACCCAAATAAACCCATACCTCTGACCTACCAAACCATAGTTATTGTTTTTCTTTTTAAGAGTTATTTTTATTTTACATGTATGAGTGTTTGCCTGTGTGTGTGTATATGCACCAAATTGCAATGCCTGAGGAACCCAGAAGAGGGCATCAGAGCCTCTGAAACTTGAGTTAAGCACAGTGGTTGGCCACCAGGTGGGTGCTGGGAACTGAACCTGGGACCTGCAGGAACAGCCAGTGCTCTTAAACCCTGAGCCATCTCTCCAGTCCCACAGTTAGTTTTCTTCATGCTCACCACACAGCAGGGCACAGAGCATCCCTGTAAGGCTGATAAGAACTCTTTTTACAAATCCCAT